CAGACGGTCCCCCCGGAAGCGCCACCGGGCTGGATACGTGCCCCGCCCCGGCGGTGGTCTGCAGGACCGAGGAGAAAATGATAAATTTCATTCAAATTAACGCGGGCCGAGGAAAGGCGGCCACGCACCAGATAGACAAACTACTGGTAGAGTTGGCCATAGACGTTGCGCTAATCCAAGAGCCTGCGACCGATGGTACGGGGATCTACCTGCTAGACAGGCATCCCCTTAGAGCCCTTTCACACTCGCCGATATTATCGACCGATATTGTCGTAGGTGGTGTAGGACGATATCGGATATTGCTTGTACATTACGACCGATATTATCGTCGGCGGTGAGAAACGATATCACCTGATCACTGATTTTCGTACTCAAATCGTTCGAGTACACTGTCTAAAATACTTGTTCGTAGTTCCTATTACCTAAGTACTTAACTTGAATAAGTATCATTTTAAATTAATTAAAATGAATAACAATAAAAAAAGGTTAGCACTGCTTGCATTGTTGCGTCTTCGAAAAAAACGTAAATTGAATAAACAACCCTCAACAAGGAGGTATTGGGTTCATCCCATGTTAGAAGTTAGATATGTATAGATATGTATTTCAACCATCATCGTATAGGCCGATATGCCTTCTTGACACCGTCGGAAAACTATTCGAGAGGATCCTAAAATCAAGATTAGAAACACACCTAGAATTCTCAAATAACCTAAGCGACCAGCAGTTCGGATTTCGCAAAAACAAATCCACCGTAGATGCAATATCCAATATTATGGAAGAGGTTAACACTAAAGCGACCGAGCCACTGCACCGAAGAAATCTCTGTGCCATGATATCTCTGGACGTGGCCAATGCGTTTAACACGGCTTCATGGCGCAGGATCGACAAGGCATTAACCGAAAAAGATGTTCCGGAATATTTGAGACGAGTCTTGAGGAGTTATCTCAGTGAAAGAACTCTTTCCTACGGAGATGACAAAGTACGGAAGGTTACCGCCGGAGTCCCGCAGGGGTCTGTATTAGGACCACTGTTGTGGAACGTTATGTATGACGACCTCTTGCGGGTAAGCCTTCCGGGCTGTAATACTACGAACTCGAGCGCAAGGCTGGTCGCGTTCGCCGACGACGTGGCTGTGTTGGCTACGGGAAGAACAACGGAATGGCTGGAAATATCAGCAAACAGCGCTTTAACGACGGTTGAGTCATGGATGGAGGAAAATGGCCTTCACTTATCGGCGACAAAGACCGAGGCAGTCATGCTGACGACGAAACGGGCTTACGCAAAGCCCAAATTTTATATTAAAGGAACACAATTGGGATTAAAGAAAGAAGTCAAGTACTTAGGCGTTACGTTAAGTGAGAAGCTAGGATACAGAAAACACCTGGAAATCACGCAAAACAAGGTAACGGCCACTAACGCAGCACTATCAAGGTTAATGCCGAACATCGATAGTCCGACGCAAAAGAAAAGACAAATACTAATCACAGTCGCCATAAGCCAAATAATGTACGCAGCCCCGATTTGGTCAACGGTGCTGGAATGTAAAAACAAACTGGCAATCATGGAGAAGCCACTAAGAAGAATTGCTCTCAGAGTTGCATGCTCGTATAGGACGGTCTCATTACAAGCAATACTAGTAGTCTCGGGGGTACCTCCCGTCGATCTGCTGACTCGTGAGCGGGCCCAGAACCATAACAGCAGGGTAGACAAAGACCGCGTCAAGCTGAGGATGACGGCCAGGGCGGAGCTATTCAAGGGTTGGCAGAAACGATGGGATGAAGCAGAGACGGGGCGATGGACGTGGAGACTTATAAGGGACGTCGAGGCGTGGACGACGAGAAGTCATGGAGGTGTGAATTTCCATGTAACCCAAATGCTCACTGGACACGGATGCTTCAGTGAGTATTTGCACAGATTCAAGAGGAAGGATGATCCGAAGTGTGTGGACTGCTCGGCTCCGAAGGATGATGCCGAACACGCCATTTTCGGTGCGACCGTTGGTGGAAGCAGAGGCGGGAGTTGGAGGTCAGGATCGACAGGGCGTTCGAACCCGAAGCAGCGGTCGATGCGATGTTGGCGAGCCAGGAGAACTGGAACGCTGTCGGGGACTTCGTCAACCACATTCTATCTAGAAGGGAAGAGGAGGAGAGAGCCCGACAACGGGTAGACATAAATTATATTATATTATAGGCCTAAGGCCAAACTAGGATACGTAGATATGTACGACATAGAAATTGTGAGAGGGGATATGGGGAGATTGGCCTCAGTCCTCTCATTAAGGATTTGTATTTAATTCAATAAACGATGGCGGCCGGGGAGAAGTAATACCTCACGGTTAAGTCCCTCCCCGGTTCTCGATTTAAACTTAAAAAAAAAAAAAAAAAAAAGTTAGATATGTGGAAGGTGCATTTTATACAACTTTTAACAAATTATTAGAAGATGAAATTAAGTTCTTCAACTATTTTCGAATGAGTTTTGGAACATTCAACAATATATTGGACCAAATAGCAGATCTCATTCGCCGTCAAGATACCCAATTACGTTTGTGCGTGCCTCCAAAAGAGATGTTGGTTATACCTATAAGGTATGAAACAACTAATTAAATATTTATTAAATAATAGTCAACATAACGTCATTTAAAATGTATTATATTTTTATATTAAACAATCAAAATCAATTTAAAAAAAAAAACAATAACTTTCAGTTTTAAAATAATGAGTAGTTAAAAATTGTATTCATTTAAATCATAGTTAGCAAAAAAAGATGAACACGATTGTTGAGTTTCTGATGTATTGCTCATTGAAGTATACTCTGGTGTTACGTTTTGTTGAAAATTTATTGGAGTCGATGAAACACAATATTGTGGACCTCTTGGTTGATTTGCAAATGATGTGTTATTAAAATTATTCCGTTTTTTTTTTAATATTATGAACTAGTTTTAATACTGAAATACGGAACTCATATTTTTCATCTTCCGTCATAACTTGCACAGATGGTAAAATAGTATTGAAAAAAGACTGATCTTCATCTGGAGGAGTCTTAGGCGTATCGCACGTTTTTAAAGCTTTAATTATTTCCATATCCAAATCGTCTTCAGCATGACGTTTATTCCTACGTTCTTCTTTTTGTTTATTTTTTTTGGCTAAAGAACTACGATAACTTATTACTTCTTCTGAAACATTATCTTCAACGTTAATATCTTCAGTCGACTCCTCTTCAATAATACTCGATTTTGTATCATCTTTTTGAGCAATTTTCAGAAGAAATTTTAACTGTTCAGAATAAATATAATTTTTGGTGTATCCTTGGCCACTTTTTTTCTTTAATGATCGTATAAAAGCATCTCTAATATTTTGCCATTTTCCAATAATTACATCTCCTAAAAAACAAGTAATTATAACTAAAATGAATGAATTTGACCCAACGAAATTTTTTTTATCGATATTTAAAAAAAAAAATTTTGAAAAAAACCAAACATTTCTTAGGCCTACAGTTAACTCAAAACTTGTCAAAATATTTTTTTGGTGTATAGCAAATGATAATCTAAAAATTATAAATCAATAATACAAGAACCTATAATATGTAAATATTATAATACATAAGCAGTATTTCGTTATAAACTAATATAATGATTATATCATATTTTTAGGTATCTAGCATCTGGAAACACATTTTCAGATTTGCATTACATTTTTAGATTGGGTATATCTACAATTAGCAAAATAGTAAGGGAAGTTTGTTCAAAATTATGGAATATTTTAAAAAATAATTATCTTTCAAAACCAAATGAAGAAAAATGGAAGACAATTGCAAATGGTTTTGGAAAAACTGCTCAATTTCCACATTGTCTAGGGGCAGTAGACGGCAAACATATTCGTGTTCAAAATTTCCCAAATAGTGGATCTATGAATTTAAATTATAAAAATTACTTTTCCATAGTTTTGATGGCAATAGTTGACTCGGATTATAAATTTATTTACGTAGATATAGGAGCGTATGGTAAAGACTGTGATTCTGCAGTATTCAAAGAAACTGTGTTTTGGAAATTACTCGAGACAAACAAGTTGGATATACCACATGCTGAAACAGTTATCACAAATTACAATCTACCATATGTTCTAGTAGGTGACGAGGCGTTTGCTTTGTCTACAAATTTACTAAGACCTTATGGAGGCAAAAACCTATGCATAAAAAAACGTGTGTTCAACTATCGTCTCACTAGAGCAAGAAGATATGTGGAATGTGCATTCGGTATTTTGGCGAATAAATGGCGAGTATTGCACAGACCATTAAATGTTTCCAAGGAATTTGCTAAAGATATCGTAAAAGCATGTGTTATACTGCACAACGTTGTACGAGAAAGAGATGGATTTCGTTCTGAAGGAGAACAAATCATTCATAGAGGATCTCATGGACTAAATAATTTGGAACGTATACCAATACATGGTAGAGGAGGGACAAATGCAAATTATATACGAGACAGTTTCGCAAATTATTTTATAAGCCCAGCTGGAGAATTGCCTTGGCAATTAAATAAAATCTAACTGTAAAAACCATTCAAGAATATAAATAAATATACAGGTGTCCCATAATGTTTTTCTTATTTTAATATTTAATCTGTTTTTTTTTAATATTTTATCGTTATAAATAATAAACTTACCAATTTCTTGTTGTTCCTTCGCAGATTTGTCTTCATAATTTTTTTCTAAATAAAGAAACACTTCTTTCCATTTATTCCTTTTTATTATTCTATCCTTATACTCTGTGGATGTTTTGTCCCAAAGGGTTGGCCTAGATTCCACCAATTCAATTAATGTTGGAACATCATACGAAAAACTCATTTTAATAATAATATTAATAAAACAATGTTGAATAATATTATAATCAATCACGTTATTCGTCGGAATAATATAAACAAATTCATTAAAATTGACAAAACTATTTCGGTACGACGATATTATCGGTCATGTGTGAAAACCAACCATCTATTTGTAATTGGTCATTGAAATCGGACGATAAAAATATCGTCCGATACTGGTCATCTGTCCGACATGCACACCGATATCGTCATACTACAACGATATTTTTATCGGATCGGTGTCAATGTGAAAACCGTCTATTTAAAACCACACAATTTTACTTCTACCGACACCGATACCGATACCGACACCGATAATATCGGCGAGTGTGAAAGGGCTCTTAGGGTAATCGTGGCGGGGCGATGGCCGAAGGCTGCCGTTGTCGTCGCGAACCCGGCCATAGGAGTCCTTGCTCTCAGACATCTCTGTACCCCCCACTTGGCCGCGGCCACGCTCACGGTGGGACAAGTCAGCTTGACGGTAGTATCTTCATACTTCCAGTTCTCTGACCCCACCCAGACACACGCCGACGCGCTCGGGTCCGTCCTGGACCAGATCCGCGGCGCCGTGCTTGTCTGTGCGGATGTCAACGGGCGGTCGACGGTGTGGCACGATGAAGTCTCGGATGACCGGGGCGAAGTAATCGTGGAATTGATAAGTAAAAAAGGCCTGTCCGTGCTGAACCAGCCGGACCAACCTAAAACATTCATGAACAGGGGGTCAGCCAAGCTGGACGTCACACTCGCTTCGCCTTCGGTGGAGCGTAGGGTGACGGACTGGAAGGTCATACCCGGTTTGACATCAAGCGATCACAACGTGATCAGCTTTAGAGTTGCGTGCAGCCAAAGCGCCCCTCCGTCCACGGGTAATGCCGTACGGAAACGATATTTATGGAAAAATACAGATTGGAAAGCATTCCGTAAGACCTTGAAAAGTTTAACGATAGCACGGTCAGCCGAGCTTGGTTGCCCGGTCATAGATCTCTGTGTGAACGCACTCTCAGAGGTGCTGCAAACGACTTGTGACACCCACATGAAACGGGCCGTGGTCGGACGGCTGAAACCGCCTCTCTGGTGGAGCTCAGACCTCGGTAGCGAGCTCGCCCGATTAAGACGCTGGAAGCGCAAACTACGCGCAGAACGCAACGCGTTCAGAAAGAGAGCCATAAGGAGGAAGTACACAGACCTCAAGCGGAGATACAACCGCGCCTGCTTTAGAGCACGGCGGACGGCCTGGCGCTCCTTCGTTACCGGCACCGGGAACGAGGAGCCCTGCGGACCCGTCTATAAATGGCTAAAAGCCGGGGGAACACGGCCCTCGGAGAAACTACCAGCGTCCATCAGAAAAATGGACGGAACATTTACGTGTTCGCTTAGGGAGATCGGCGAGAGGCTTCTCGAGCAACTGGTCCCTGAGGATAGCGACGCAACGGAGACCGCAGGACAGGCGGAAACCCGTAGAGAGACCGGCGTTTATGTGGGTAGGTTCGAGTCGGCATTACCTGGGCTTAGTCCGACGTTCGACCCGGTTGAACCGTGCACGATCGATGAGGTAAGAGATGCCATCTGGCGGATGAAAACATGTAAGGCCCCGGGCCTGGACGGGATCACGGCAGGAATCTTACGGCAAGCGTGGCCCGTCCTCCAAAACCAAATTACGTTTGTGTTCAATACCTCACTGGCTACGAGGACATTCCCGAGCCTGTGGAAGAACGCGGCGCTGGTCGTCATTAGGAACCCGACGAAGGCTAGGTCATACCGACCCATTAGCTTACTCCCAGTTCTAGCTAAGGCACTGGAACACCTTATCGTGGCGAGAATCCGTAAAGATACGGACATCCATATGTCGGCCAGACAATTTGGTTTTATATTAAATACATTTTTTTTTGTTCATTTTTAATTACTAAAATATTGGACGATGATGGCCACAACCCCTAATAATATTCATTAGATAAAAATTAGCAATAAGTTGTATATTATAAAATGTTTTATAAATTTGGAATACATTTATAATATATTATTAATATAAAATACAATTATCAGGAATTGATAAATACAAAGAGATAACAGATAAGAAATTTCAATTTATGATAACTATTAGCGCATGTGCAGAAAGTTCTTGGTTCAGTTCTGTGTTTAGACTGTTTAGAGTGTTTAGACGCTCCTAGAATTTTAAAGTGAAAACTGATAACGGTCGTATAGATGTCGTAGATTTGGTTCGGTCATTCGTATAGAATATATTATATACTATATATAATATATATATATATATATAGATTTATGATAGATGTTTTGACAACTTTTTTTTAACTTCAAAATTCAAATTTTTTAAATCTTTAAGAATTACATTTATAACATGAGTGTAAAAAGAAAAACGCTGTACGATTTCTTTATAAAAAAAAAACAAAAAGTTAGTGATGTTAAGGTTATTGAGAATACAGAAGATAAGTAAATATCCTACTGGCTATTTAAATTTCAATAAATTGTTTATAAATGCCTTATCTTATATTCTTATTACCAGTTTTATTTAATATTTAGATGACTTAAATTTCCCAAGACATCCAGAGTCCGTTGCTTCGGCTTCACTTGAAGAAGGTAGGTAATACAATAGTACCTACCTACCTATGAATACACGTCATAGACTGGGAACACACGGGCGTTATTTTACCGCGCTGTAAAATTACGGTGAGTTTTGTTAAAATACACTAAAATGAATAAAGCACAACACACAAGTGTCGCGTCGTAAAAATACCGCGCGATATTTCAAAAACAGTCGCCTGCACCATGACTTTGCCGCACGTTAAAAACTTAAAAATAACGCACGATTAGAAATCCCAGTCGAAATGTATTATAAATTGTTATAATGATAGACGGACACGCAGTAATAAAACGCGCGACCGATTATTATTTTATTTCAATATTCGTTCAATTCTCTATTAGTATTTAGTAGTCATTAGTATTCACAAGCACCAACAGTTAACATGTCGTCAGAGCACTCAGAAGAAGAGTCTGAAATCGACTTTTTAAATTTGACATCTGAAGTTGATGTTGAACAGAATAGTCAGTTAGACACAGAACTAGACATAGAGCTTTAAATTTCGTTTATTGAAAATAAGCCTGTTTTATGGGACAAGACCTTAGACAAGTTTTCAGACCGCAATGAAAAACGAAAATCTCGGAGAGAAGTGTTCGGTTTGATAAAACCAGGATTTGAACATCTTCAATTTAAGGACCAAATATCGATAGGTAAGTTTATAAAATACTAAATAATACTATAATAATATAAAAAAAATATGTTTTCCTTTCTTGTATATTTTGTCTATATCAATTATTGAAATTATGAATTTATTGATTTTACAATTTATTATTATATGATTAATGAGTATTTAAAAGTATTTATTATTATTATATTCAATGGATAATTAGAAATGTCTAAGTTATAAATTTTTAAACATTCCAAAAACATAGATATGCATACACATGCGATCAAGGACAATAAACCAAAAATTATTTATCGATATACTTTTACTATTTAAAATTTTATAGATAGCACACCATCTTTCTTCAACACGAACATAATTATTCTGCCATTCTTCTAAATTTTCATTTATAACATTATTTACATGATTATATTCATAAAAAAGAATATCTTCATCCACATTCCAACCGGTTTGTTTTTTATTATTTTGCAAAATAAATTTTAAACTTTTTTGAATATCATTCCATGTTGGACAATTTATCAGTTGAGTCCAACGAAATATTTTTAGTTCTTCAAATGTATTTCCCCACTTTTCAATGTACATCAAAAATATGTCATAAAACTAGTTAGTTTGCTCTATAAATTGTTTTTTTGTGTATTTATTTTTTGTCTCTAGTTCTAAAAGCATCGAGTTTACACTAGAGGTTAAAAAGTTATGTGTTTTTCTATTTTTTATTTTTCCACATAGTATTTCTAATTCTTCTGACACTTCACATGCAGATATGTTGTCCCCTTCTATTCTTTTTATAGTGTCACAAACAACTTTTAATTGACTTTGTATAAAATTAAACCATATTATTGCAACGGGGTCACTAAAAAAATGATTTTAAAATGGTTGGACATTTATCCTGAGTGTCAAAGTACAATTTTAAAGCTGGATACATTTCAATGATTCTGGAGACTGCTGGTTGTAAAGATAACCATCTTGTCTTTACATTTCCAAGTACGTTTTTGTATTGTGTATTTGTAAAATCACAAAATTCTTTTAATATTTCCACTCTCATAGTATAAATATAAAAGTACTGAAATATTTTGTTAACGATACATTCGATATCAATAGATAAGATATCTGTACTAGTTTGCATAGCGTTGTGCAGAATATGAGCTGCACAACCAATTCCAGAAATGTTAGTTTTTAAATTATTGTTTAAAATTGTAAAAACATTTTTTGTTCCCCTCCTTGCGGCACCTCCAAAATTAGTATTACAGTTGTCACCACTAAATGCAATAATTTTGTGAGCTAATTTATGTTTTGTTAATGTTCCACCAGGCTCCTGCTTGGGCGGTTGGCCTAGGATGGCAAATATAATAACACCCAGAGTATTTCTCTCTCTATAATAAATGTAATATTGTGAATTGTAAAAAGGACGGGTGACCAAAAATAATAACTTTAATAATACGAACAAATGCTTGTTTTTTCGCACCGTCGTGCTACAATAGTATATAATAATAAAAATAGTAACAAATTAGGGCGCCCAATTAATATGACAAAAATCGGTATACAAAAAAAAACAAAACAAATGATAATAATAACAATAATAACAATTATGGATATCACCTATATCGACGACTTGGATCTTGAGCAACGTGATCGCATGAATTCTCCGCTGCAGGAACACCGGTGTGGATTATAGTGATTATACTGTACACTACCAACTCACGAACTTTACGCCCAAATAATAATAGGTGGTTATATATATATATATTATATTTTAGAGTCTGCACGGCAAGAGCGGCGAATACAACGACGGCACACACGTTATAAAAGAATAAGGGTGCAATGACACAAAATTTAACGACACACACGGGCCGAAAGTTTACGGCAACGTCTCGACGATGTCGTACGAGACCAGCGAACGAGTGAATGTGTACGGTCGTATTGACGGACAGCAGTGGTCAGGGAACGCCGATGCCACATTAGGCAAGAGGGGAAGAGGAGGGCGACGATAAAGTCGCCGAGCTTATCGCAAGGGAAAAAATATCGTAATATATCTCGAACAGTTAAAATTTCCATAATATAAGACGACAGTATATCTGAAGTTTCTCCTTTCAAATTTATGAATTATAACACTTTAATTTGTACCCTGGTTTTAGGATTGAAATACCGAATAAGAATGGGGACAATTTTTAAATTTTTATGATTGAAGTGTCAATCATAACTGTTGCAAAATTAACAGCTTTCAGTTCGTCTATTATTTGATCCATTGCAAAAGGAGCCAACACATTCAGAATAATTGATTCACACTAAGTACGCGCACAAGAAAACTTTTTTTCATGTAACTTTTTTTATTAAAGTAGTAGTACAATCCATTGACCTAAAATAATGGTTATGTACTATAGTGTGAAATGCAAACATTCCCTCTTCTGCTGCAATTTTTAAACCTTCACTAATTAAGCCAGCTGGTCCTTGTTTTATAAAATATGATGTTACCTTGTCACTTTTTGAAGCACTAGATAAGGCCGTCGTATGTTTTTTCTTTTCCATAATATGCTGTTTGATATCTGAGCGTCCTCCATGTTCAATTGAAAATACTGCCTTGCACACCGTACAAAACACTTTTCCAATTTCATCACATTTTTTTAGGAAAGTAAATTCAGACTGTAAAGATACAGTGAACGTGCATCTCCTCTTTGGCATTTTTTAAAAATAAATTAATTCACCAACTCACAAAATTGAAATAAAAATACGATACGTAGGTAGTGGCTATAATAAACACAATCGCTTTACTGTCCGTACGTTACTATTCGACATATTTTGTTGTTCGACTTTTAGATTAAACAAATTAATATAATAATATCTAAATATATCATCGATTATAAATAGTATTATATTTTATTTTAGTTCGTAATGCATATGCTATTATACGACGTGTATCATGCTTATTTTATTATTATTGTCTATTTGTATTGTTCGTCGGCATCGGCACTCGACGTTCGTTCCACAGAAATTTTAGTCTGTTATTTATAACTTTGGTTTCAAGTTTTAAATATAAGCTATTTTATATTTGGTTCATCAATTTATTTTATTCTTTTACAAAAAAACATAAATTATAATTTAATTATTTGGAAATAACGGGATTAAAACGGGACAATCTTCTAAAAACGGGATAAAAAGCGTCCCGTTCGAAGTTATTTGGGACAACGGGACACGAAGATCAAAAAGGGGACAATCCCGTTTTAAACGGGACGTATGGTCACCCTAGTTTAAGTAAAACATACTTCGTTAAGTAATCTTGGTAAACTAAAATAAATCGATAATTTCCATCAGGTTGAGCTTGCATGTCAATCAAATCTACTTGACAACGAGAATTAATTTCTAAAGAAATTATTGGTTTAACTACTAGCCCTTTTTTCACAGTTTTACCTTTTTTCTGAAACAATTCACGTAGATTTAATTATATCATTAAACATTCCCTAGTAATGTTTTTATATTTTGCGTTCAGTTCATGTTCCATCCGGTTTCTACCTCCATGTCCAATTTGCAAATGGACGTCATGAATTATGTTATACAACTCTTCGTTATAAACATAATATTTGATAATATTTGGATCAGTTACCGGAACAATTAATTTATCAATATTACTTACATTCATTATATCATAGCGCTTCAATCATTTGGTTTTAATTTTGTTCCACTTTTTAACCGTTTGATTTCTGTTAATACTTGGTTATATTTTACTTTACTTAAAAATACATTATTCGAATTTTTTTCACTCAGAAAAGTATTAAATTTTTCATAAAATTTTAAATCAACCATTTTAAATACTAAGAAAAATAAAAGTTTTAAGAAAATTCAAAATAATAATAATATGTGTTTAAACACAATCGATCCGTTAAATGATGTTATTAAAAATGATCGGAAATTCTATATTATATCTCCGGTATAGATTGTCGTTGGTATAACCTCTGATAAAATTATCATGCAGCAATAAGCTATTAATTATTATCCTTACTATATTATTACAGATATCGAAACCGCATATGGGTACTGTATCGGCTGTTGCCGGTTACAATACTTACAATCATCAGTTAGATACCATCGTAGAGGGAATGTAATCGATAATCATTATCGTTTTAACAATAAAGAAAAATTATAGCTTATACAGACGCGGAATCGCAATAAACTTACATTACCCACAGACAATATTTAGCACTCTACACAATGCCCGGTTTTTGTATTACAATGCCCGGGCGAAATCACCAAATTAAAATCAGATTCAACTTTGCCCAAATATAACAAGCATTGTGCACAATGCCCGGGCACTGTATTACAATGCTCGATTTATACACTTTGACCGTAACATATATATTAATTATTTACTAATAAGTAGGGCTGACGGTATCGAAAATATTTTTCGGTATTACGGTATTGATTTCAATACCGGTTTGAAACGGTATACCGAAAAACCGAAAAGTTCCTGTATACCTAAACACCGATATGGTACGGTATACCGAAATAATAAATAAAATCTAACTAGTATCGATATTTTTTACTTTAATATTGTTTCACAGTATATTATACTGTATGTCTTTATATTAGGTTAGTATACATAATATTATAATCTATATTATTGCCATTGATACTGGAAAACAGCAAGCACTAAAACTTTCACTTATAATTATTATTGTTTACTTCAAATTAAGTTAATGTGTGTTGTTATTGAGAGTAGGAATATAAAAAGTTCACTGTAAATCATCCAACCTGCAAGTATATCATATTAGTAAGAAAACTTTTAGAAATATTTATATATATATTTATTATAATCATTACAATTTTAATTACCTACTGATAGATTCATTTAGGAATCAAACAAAAAAAGAAAAAGAAATAATATAACAATGTTGCGTCTTGCGAAAGAATAACAATTTTAAAAAAAACAATGTAATAGCAGTTATTTGTGTAGGTGCACTATATGTCACAGTGAGTAAGTCACTTAGAAACATACTTGGCATTCATAGACAAAAAAATTAACTCTTCAGCATGTTCTGGAGACAATGAGGATCGATGATCAGTAATGACATTACCAGCACAACTAAAAATTCGTTCACTTAGTACACTTGTGCCTTGTATACACAAGTACTTCGTAGCTAATTTTGCCAATGTTGGAAATTCTGAATGGAATAATTTCCACCATTTTAAAGGATTACAATGCAAACTAACACTTGGCAATGATAAATACTTGTCAAGTTCTATTTGGTTCAAATCTTGTATGGAATTTGTTTCAACAGGTATGTTTGAACATCGGTGGTATGGTTCAATTCTTAAGCAACCTGAAAACAAAATATTAATATAAATTGTGTTCAAGATACAATAGCCGATGAGATTACAATAGAATAAAATGACAACATGGAAAACAATGAAAATGAAACGGTTAATAATGGTCTACAAATGTTTGATGAGATAGTACAAAAAATGAGAGATGTAATATAATCAGATGAAACTTACTTTACACCTGGAATTAAAGCAATGAGTAATTCATTTAAGAAGAATGTAAAGACACATACTAGTCTTTTTTCAGCCATGATGACATTTGGCAAGTACTCTGGTCTTGATCCAACCTCCAAGACACTTAAGAGGCCGTCACAATAGAAGAAAATTGACCGTAAAAAATTGATTTCGTACTTCCAATAGTTCTTAGGCCTCGTTGATCGTAGAAACATGATTTTGGTATCAAAATAATCACTAAAAGTTGAACTAAATATTATTGGAATAGAATTTTAAAATAATTTTTCTAACCAAATTTATTTTGTTTGAAGTTTGTAAAATTTTCATTTTTTTAAAAAATTATATAAAATCGACAAATTTAGATATCAAAAATATTTAATACAACTTCTCGTGATTATTTTGATACCAAAACCATATTTCTACGATCAACAAGCTTGAGTACTACTGGAAGTACAAAAGCATGTTTTTGGAAAAAAAATATGAATTTGCCGTCGTCATGTGCTGCTAAAGCGATTATAGTGGCAGCGTTTTGAAATAGTACTTCTTTCACCACCCTTTTTACATAAGCAGCTGTACCGCATCATGGTCAAAACTGGTTATTTATCGTAGCCGCACATGGGTTATAAATAGCCAAATACGTCAATACGAAAATAATAATTTTGTCAATGAATAATATTATTTTATTTTTTGATGTTATAAATCGTATTCTTATTACTATCGTATTTTGCGCAAAATGGAACTACATAATATTATATTGTAAAATTGTCACACATCAGCTAGAGAACGTACGATTTAAACAATTTTTTTTTTCAATTATAGACAATTGTTCTATAAAATTAGCGTATTGATATTCAAGACGAATTTTTTTAATTTAAATTAGTTTAACTGTATAAGTAAAAAAAGGTAGCCAAGTGGGTGTCGCTCTGCTTTACAGTAGGTTACAAGTGAGTCACTATACATACCTACTGGATTGTGTTAAATTTAAATTCAGTGATATAATATTGTATAAGAAAAACAAATATTAAGAAGACGAAGAGTCAGCCTATGATATATTATAATATATATTTGTAACTAGAAAATAATTTAAAATTTGACAATTTTTTCAAAATTCAAACTTAAAAAACTTATAAAAAAAACTTGTGCACGTTGACTTTTAATATTTTTCAACTGCTATTGTAATAATATATGTGTAGGAGCCTTGAATTAAATTTTCACGCTTCTTGACCCAACAAATTTAATTACTAATTTATTAACAACTACTAAAAAAAAAATTGAAAATGTCCGTAAACAGCTCAGAAAAAATGAAAATGTTTTGAAAATTGTATCAAGTATAGGAATTGATACAATAGATATATATAGTAAATTATTAAAAGTATCTACAGTTATTCGTTTTTTTAATTACAACAACATAAGAAAATTGCTACACGATAAATCTAGTGAATATCCAATGTTGTAAAAATCTGAATTTCAAACGCTCATAAAAATTAAATTTATATTTCCGGTAGATATATTTTCCATAAAACTAGACAACCTTATGAAGAATCTTGTACTAAATTTTTAAATTTTAGATTTAAAAAGAAAAATTGTTATGAATTTCTAACAAAATAATTTGTACATTTTCTTCATTTTTACGTATTTTCTATTCTGTGATAATACACAGAAATGTTGTTATTTTCTATTAAACTCGATTTGCTAATGCCTAATACATAAAACAATAATTTTTATATTATTTACAAATATTATGTAATATGTAATTTATTAATTTATATTGTATTCGAAGATGTACTCGCGTCTTTTAGTCTAAACTTTCCATGTCCTATACTCATTCATAGATAGCTAGATATATATAGTATCCTAATCATGAGTTTTTTTCTGTAATGCGATTTGAATAAATGTATGATATAACAGATAAATAATCCAAATAGCCTATTATACGACGAAGGTCGATCATTCGCTTGATCCGTATAAACTTTATATTTTTATTTGTTATCGACACTTATCGTATTCACGTCGTCGCCCGTCGGTAAGATGAAAGAGGGTGAGTATCTAAATAATAATTATTTAATTATTCAATTATTGATTATAAATTATGACAGTAAATATCAAAGTAAATGGACACAAATATTGTCATTTGTCCAACTGTTAACACCAGTAATAACTTAGATTTTCGCTGGAATTTTATTACGGTTTTGAAAAATCAGCGTATTTCATCCATTTCGAATATTGGTTATAACAGTTTTAAAAATTAAATATTATTATTTAAATGTTATAACAGGCCATGCGATGTAAATGAAAGTTCGGGAAGACGAATAGTGGATATACATTACGTTTTTAGTCAAATTAAAAATAGTGTTCAACAAGGGTCATTTGGTTGTTCATTTTTGAACATGACATTTATTTCTGAAAAAAGACACGGATTTAGATCAACATTTAGGTTTAAGAATTTGCATATTAAATGGGCGGTGGATCAGGGTTTACCGCAATAAAAGTCAGTGAAATTATCTACTTGATAAAATGTAAAAAAGTCAACGTAGTCATTTCACAAAAAAAAAATTGTTATAATGAACCGCCAGTATTATAGGTACAATAACAAAACATTATTTATGGCGCCCAAAACCCATATTTTACAGCAATTTGGAACATAGGTGGACTGCAATGTGCTTTAACACCTGCGTTTCTAATATCAAAAACTACATAAAAGAATTATCGTTAAGCTTCTTTAACAATTTATCAAAAGCAAGTGGTCCACAGCACTTCAGGCTCCAGTGATTTACTCGTCCAAACAGTCGTAGACTCCAACGCGGCCATCCACACGACGTCCTAAATCTTTAATCTAATATTGTATTATGTAAATATTGTTTTATATTTTATTATTTTATTATCTGTTAATGTTGCATAATTTTATCCAATTCAATATATTTTAAATCATAGTTTTAACTATTTATACCATAATTGTGATCTAATTTATAAATGTTAAAAAATAATTAATTCTTTATACCTAAGTTTAGATGATGTCGACTGTCAGGAAAACTTTATAATAATAAAAAACAAAAACCACCTGCGTTCAAATTGGGAGGTGATTGGATTGCCGTTCTGCCAAACATACAAGAAATCAAAAAACCACAAAGGCTTAAACCGGCCATGTCCTGGACATGGTCGTATATAAGTCCGGAATTTCTTATGAATGCCAGTATATATACGCAGGATACAATGAAAGCTTTCCAACAGCATATATTGTTCCTGCAAGAAGTGAAAGCTGTTACGAATAATATAATCAGACAATCTATGGGATATGATAACACTAACCAAGGTCTGTAATTTAAATATTTGATACATGAAAACACGCTTGGAAAAATGGTAGAAGATAAGTTATTTAAATTATAGGGTTGATTTACGACTATTGGAATTTTTGTGTCTGGGCTCATGGGAATATTCTTTGTTGCAAAATCAATATTAACTATTGTTGACACAGGTATTAATATAACTTTTTTATATCAAACCTTTGGATGGAGTACAAAGCTTTTAGCAGGATTTTTTTCGAGCATTACCCATAACTTAATACTCCGGTCTCATAAACAAAAATACATTAAAATTCAAGAGTTTAATGACGACTCTTTGGAAAGAAAACATGTTCGACGTTATAATAATAAAATCAATATTTATCCAAATCTTCCGCTTGAAATGGTTTAAAACCGTCAAAATTAAAAAATATTTGTACCCATTTTTATTTAAAAATATTTGTATCATATATTCATATGTATTTATTAATATATTAAATTATTTAGTTTGTATAAAAATTAATTTTATGTGTAACTATAAATATTGTTACGGATGGTTTTTTTTTTATTACAACGCAAAATAAATACGTAAAATGTTAATTGCATAATGTTATGTATTGTATTTCATTTTATTATTGTACACATAACTATGCTAATTTTATATAGATAATTTACATATTATGACATTTTTAAAATAAAAGCATAGGTGTAATATAATATTATAGTAAGTCAGTTATCCATTATCTATATGAACGCTAGCATTAATTTAAGTTATCAATTATTATAAATTGTCATTAATCCAAATGTTGTGTTTTAATTAATTATTATGTATAAATAAATGTGTTCTGTACATTTGTAAGTACCTACATAATTTAATTTAAATTTATATATATATTATATGAACAATGAAAATGCTTAGTTTATACATATTGTTTTTTTTTTACATATAGGTACTACAATTGCAATAATATAAATAATTATAGTATTACAATAGGTATTTATTTAATAAATATTATGTACAACAATCAACTTTATATTTTATGTAGGTATTATGTTTAAAATTAAAATAAGTAAATACATCAACATTTACTAATCAGAACTATTAAAAATGTTATTAATAAATAAAAAATTAAATTATCGAACAAAAATTGCTTCATGTCATTTATAAGTTACAGCGTAAAATACGTAACACTCTTACTAAAAAATCTATTTAATCGTAATGAAATTATTATTTTACATGTATTTTAAAAAGTAATTGGGTTAGAAATATAAATTGAGTTCTGGTGTATAATAATTTGTATGCTTAATTTATTGGTTAATATTTTTAAGCAAACAGGAGCTTAAATTAAAAAATAGGTTTGCGACTTGTGAGCCAGCACACCGTATAGAATTCACGGGCGACAATTTACGTAACGGTCTGTAATGACGTTTGATTTTCCACGAACGTTTCCACGTTCTGAACGACCGTCAGTGAAATAATAATGTACCTCTCCCGCGATAACAACACGCGGACCCCGTCACGTACACAATGGGCGTGGTTACGGCCTACCGCGACGGCGGTGATATGGAATTCAACGCCATCTCTTGAGCGTTGTATACGTTTCACTTTTACCACGACGGCCTCTTAATGGTATTATTATTTCGAAAATTAGCGTCTTATTTATATATATGACTAGCAACGGTGAAACTCGCTGTAAGTGAATACCCTAGGTCGGTAAAAATTGCTGTATATAAATACCCTAGTAGCTGAAAATCATTTGAAGTGAATTTCCTAGGTCGGGGACAGGACTTTAGTATACAGCAGTTAGAAAAGTCTAGTAGGCAAAACCAGTGATAACGATGTTTGAGATGTTGGTACCTCTGATTTGGTGGCTCTACACTTTGGCGGTGTCGTTTTAAACGCGTAAATAATAAAAGTCTAATTTGAGCGTCTAGTA